AAAAGATTTTGGTGATTCTATTAGGTGGGTTAACAAAAGATTTTGGTGATTTTATTAGGTGGGTTAACAAAAGATTTTGGTGATTTTATTAGGTGGGTTATCAAAAGATTTTGGTGATTTTATTAGGTGGATTAACAAAAGATTTTGGTGATTTTATTAGGTGGATTAACAAAAGATTTTGGTGATTTGATTAGGTGGGTTAACAAAAGATTTTGGTGATTTTATTAGGTGGGTTATCAAAAGATTTTGGTGATTTGATTAGGTGGGTTAACAAAAGATTTTGGTGATTTTTAGTCAATGTATCAAGCATACCTGGATAAAAAAACAACAAAAATAAACTATAAGTCAATTTATAAAAATAGTAAACCAGTTTGAAACGGTGTTAAACAGTCGTTACTTATTTTCGAAGTGACGCATTCTCTGGCTCTATATCGTTTAACAGTCTTGCAGCCGTGTGTTATCCGTGGTGATGTCGTATTGTTAATTTCTTGAGAATTCGCTATGACGCGGACATATAGGTGTTAAACATGTCGCATATGCGGCAACATGCCGCTTCGCTAGCATATGCTAGTCGTTCTTATAAAGGTCTTATGTCTTCTTTGACTTATGACCAGTATTTATAAGTCTAACCTATGTCGCACATTCGATTTATGATGAAAACCTATAAGCTTGAGACCTTGACTTATGACCTGTATTTATAATTATGACCTATGGTGCACATTCGATTTATAATGATGAACTATAAGCTTGAGACCTTGACTTATGACCTGTATTTATAATTATGACCTATGGTGCACATTCGATTTATAATGATGAACTATAAGCTTGGGCCCTTGACTTATGACCTGTATTTATAATTATGACCTATGGTGCACATTCGATTTATAATGATGAACTATAAGCTTGGGCCCTTGACTTATGACCTGTATTTATAATTATGACATGCGGCACGTAGTTCACGTTCAATAATTTAGTTTTTAGTTACTCGGACGTTAAGATTTTCAAGCGTGGTGCAATATTTCAAATAAAACTAAGAGTAATGATGTTTCTTTTTTTAATCTTTTCTAGCTTCGAAAACAATGAATATCAAAGAAGAACACAAAAATAATCGGAGAGTTCTTTCAACGGTAATTCTTGTAAGTTTAGTTTTCAATCTGTTAAGTTGCTTTGTTATTGATCTAATGGTTAAGGTTAAGTTTGTTATTGATCTAATGGTTAAGGTTAAGTTTGTTATTGATCTAATGGTTAAGGTTAAGTTTGTTATTGATCTAATGGTTAAGGTTAAGTTTGTTATTGATCTAACGGTTAAGGTTAAATTTGTTATTGATCTAATGGTTAAGGTTAAGTTTGTTATTGATGTAATGGTTAAGGTTAAGTTATCGATATATTTCCATTAATCTATAGTTCACTGTCACATGTTGTACATTTTTTGCGTTATTTAATATTAAATCACAGACCTCAGTAACTGAAAGGCTTGTGTTATAAGTTAGATTTAAGCTTAACCCCACATTTGTTATAAATAACCATTAAATTAGAGTTTGCTTTAAAGTTTGTTTTTCAGCTCAAAATTAACTGTTCTTGACGTGGTTTAATACAAAAGTTGTTTTGTTTTGAGAAATTGACTATAATATCCAGAGAAGAAAAAATTAAATAAAATTTGTGAATGTATCTTAAAAAACAGAGAATTTGAATATAAACAAGATTACGACACTTATGATAAACAACATTGTTTATTGACAAAAAGGGGACACGGATAAACGTTTCAGAATTCTATCAGATTCCATCTTCAGTATCTAAAGCAGAATAAAATGAATTTACGTC